TATTTCATTTTCACTATCAGTCTTCCATGAGACACTGAAGGATAGGGAGATTTGAATCCTTTTTAGCTCCCTGCTAAAATCATAGTAAATTCCATTGCCTGGAATCTCAAAGATGGGAGGAAGTAATGGGAAATGTCACTCCTCTCTGTAATACATGTGGAAGATATCTGAAGTCTAATTGTTCCAGATGCCCTGGTGTGGGTGCTACTATTTACTTATGTTCTTCTGCACTGATATACTCTTCCTTGCAGAAGAAAGTATGACCTGGGATTGGTGGAAAGAGAATGGAGGTATTTCTACACATCTACCTCCACCATTGCCAGTATTTAGGAGAGCAGCACGTTGCTGGAGAAACATTGTGTGCTTCATAGAGAAGTTTCCTTTGGGATGTCAAAACCCTGGAAAGTTCATTCTTTTCTCTTCAGCTCACAAAGCAGCAGACTTTCCACAACATGAAGTTATTTAGAACAATTGTAAATGGTCCTTAAGTGACATCCTCATCTTTCATTTATTGTTTTCAAAAATCCTGCCTTGTACCCTAGCAAGATTTCTATGAATGAGCTTCTTTAAAAAAAAAAAAAAATCTCATGGAAAATTCCATCTGGCACTTAAAAATCAAGGAGGCAAAGAACAATTGATTTCTGTGTAGTTGTCTTCTAGCTGCATTTCTGTAAGCTGAGATGCATTTGCTATCTTAAATGGATGTTTTGGTAGGATTGTCCCATTGGTACTCATTCATCTGCACATTTTTAATGAACAACAACTCTGTTCCAGGCACTATGCTTGCAACAGTGGATGTACATACAGATTGTTTCTGTTCTCAATAATGGATAACTTTGGAGACATGACAATAGATATATGACTTTATCTGTATACATAAGAAAGGCATGGTAAATGCCAAATGAAAATAGACACTAGGGGGAAAAAAATCCCATGATATTGAGTTATAGTCCATGTGAAACAGCACACTCTTGACACAAAAAATCTCATCAGTTACAATTTTGGAGGGAAAGCTCAAAGGTTACAGTATCAGCAAACTTAGCAGAAGGCCACAGGCTGGGTAATGTTTAGATAGTGAAGCTTCTTGAGACTTTTTGACTTTATGAAATTTGTGATAATGATATTCTCTTGAGGGTAAGATCAAATCAGGACCCTGATCCCCCAAGTAGAAGCAAGCTAACCATCCTTTACAACCACATCATCCTGAAATTATTTTCTTTCTTTTGGTTGCATAGATGGTTTATAGCAAATCATTTATTTGAATTTAGTGTCTGGGGTCTGGGTACAACTTCCTATTTGGTCACAATGCCATCTAGCAACCACTGTATACAAATTAAGGAACAACAAAAAATTGCATTTTTGCAGACAAACAACTCAGCAGGGTGGGTATGTGCCTAGGAGTGCTCAGTGGGTTTTTTCAAGGACAAGAGCCACGTCCCCTTCCTTGGACAGGCTTTGCTCTGAGGTAGAGAGAGGCTGATTTCTCAAAAATGGTGTCACAATTTCTCACCATCTCAAAATTTTAAAAAACTATGAAAAATTGAACAATGAGACCCATTCATTAGACTGAGAAAATTTCAGTCTCCTTTAAAATATTTTCAAGTTTTCAATGATTTAAACTTTCAGTTCTGAGACCCCTGCTTTTTTCCCTTTATATCACAATTGGTAAGATGCCACATAAGTGTATCCATGAACATTTTTCAAAAATGGGAACTATTGGGATAATGTGGGACAAAATTATCAAGGGATGTTGTAAACATTTTATTTCCTGTATCTTTATTAAATTGTTTTGTATCTTTACTATGTTAAAGCTAAAGTAGGTTCTAATTCTGAGCCCTGAGTTTCTGATATATCATAAAATTTAAAAAATGGATTTAAGTCAAAGTATTAGTTATTCCTTTTAAAATCCTAAAATCATTCCCTGAATTGATGATTTATAAATAAGCATAAATTTAAAACAGCAGCATGCTGGGGGATGAAGAAGTCTTGCTTTATATAGCTTCCTTTTGTAAGTCATATATCATACATTTATAATTTCTGGTATGAATATAATTGCTAGTAAACATCTTTAGTTTTCTTCAACCATAGATCTGTAATGGAAAGGGTAAATGCAAACATTTCCCATCAAAAGACTTCTGGAGAAGTTACAAGTGGTCTACTTTTCCCTCCGGTTTCAAACAATTCCAAATACTGCAAGGATAGTTATATATGTATGTCACTTGGTTTTACCTGGAAGTATGACTACATGTAATAAAAATACCCCAAACAAAGATATAGATTATAGATCAGAAATGTTTACTCTATGATCCTGAAATGAACTTTGATCTTTTTTCTCCTTCCAACAATACAGCTGTGGTTGACTGTCAACAACCCTTGGACTTTGTGTCATATTCTTGGAGAAGTACCTCCTCCCTCCCCTCCCCACCCTTGACACACATATCCACACAGAAAAGCAGACAAGATTCAGTATATTTAAGTTTTATTTGAAAGCCCACATTTCTTAATTTAGAGATACCTATATTCTATAGAAGAATTTTTTTCTCTTACAATGTTTAGACTGGCCCAATATCAGGGAAAATGTCCTTGGATTATAGCCAAGGTAAGGTTTTACTTAATGCTTATGAAAGCACTGACCGCCTCCCCAAATTCCTCTGATAAGCTTCAGTAAGTATAATCACTACATTCAGTTTCAAAGGTCAAACTTAGCTTCTTGGAAATCTAAGCTAGTACCTGCAGTGCAGGGTCCGGCAGTAGTTATTGTGGCTACTTACAGAAAAAAGCCAAGGGGAGAGAGTAACTTCTCCAGGAGAGGGGTGGTCTCTGCTCCACCCCCACCTTATCTCCTCATACAGGACTGGGCAACTGGCCTAAGAGTCCTTGAATTACGTGTCTACTTACTCTGTGGGTGCCTGAGCATGTACCTTCTTGCCCCTAAGGTTTGTCCTTTTTTCTTGACTCAAGAAAATATTTTAAATTGTGTCTGTTTCTTTTTCTCTGCAATGAATGAACTGACTACTTCAAAATTTTCTTTGAAAGTTACTTACCTGGAGTAACTGGAGGAATAGGGAATAGGGAGTATGACTGGAGGAATAGCAGTAATATTCAGGATTTTTTTTAAAAAAAGTTTCATTTTGTATTAGAAAAGTAAAGAATAGCCTTTATTAGGAAAAATAGGAAAAAAAGTTATTTCCATATGCAGTCAGCCGTTCAGAGCCGTGGGTTCTATAACCATGGATTCTATCAATTGCAGATTAAAAATGTTTAAAAAATAATTATTTATACTGAACATGCACAGGCATTTTCCTTCTTGCCATCATTCTATAAACAACATAGTATAAAAACTATTTATATTGTGTTTATATTGCATTAGTTAATATAAATAATCTAGAGATGACAAAGTACAGGATTGTGTAGATTATATGCAAATACTATACCATTTTATATAATGGGCTCAAATATCCATAGATTTGGGTATCAAAAGTGGTCATGTGAATTCAAATTGGGGGAGTAGAGATATGTCACATGTTTTAAACTGAAGAAATAATATAAGGAGAGGTCTCTTTCACACACAAAAAAGGAAAGAATACTATATAAGAGCAACAGATAAATAGCTAAAAAGAATACAGATGCTCTTTCCTTTAAAGAGTCCCAGATTATTTATACTGACAGAGTAACAAATGTTAGCCTAACATTTCCTTTAAGAACAGATTATTATAGGAAAGCAAAAAAAAAAAAAAATAATGGAATTGTACATTATAAATTGGTCACTGTGATGCTTACATAATATATCAAAAATAGTGGTAAATGGGGAAATTCCAAAAATGTATCCATCCAAGGGATATTAGAATGTTCCATCTTTACTGTGTTCTCCTGCAGAGCTCCAATTCATCCTTCAAGCCTTAGCCCAAAGGTTGCGAAAACAATGTTGAAACTGCCAAGAAGTACCCAGTATCTCCTTTGTGCTCTCTGGCACCCAGTTCATGGCTTTGAAATAATAGTTCCCACTCCTTAGGGATCATTTACACTTGGCTGCTTCCTCTCTCTCAAGAATGTAAAGAGTTTAACTTGTTCCTGTATTCTTGGTGTCTAGCACAGGGATTGGGCACCTATCTATTTAATTAAGCTCTGCCAAGATTTTTTAAGTAGAGCTTATCATGTGTCTGTACATGTTTTAAAGACTATATAAAAATCAACGAGTCACTTCTACAAAGATGAAGTAGATATCCTTTTGCTAAGTGTACAAAAAGCCTGGATACTAATATACAACAAATGCAAGAAGACTCTGAATGGTGGAGAGAAGGCGGAAGACAGGATAAGGGCCTCAGGACCCAAGAAATAACACTGGGATGTATTCCCTAAGTTATCTTTTAGCTCATATATCTCAGACTGGAAGCTAAAGAAGTCAACAACCTGCAAACAACAAGAGCAAAGGAGAAAAAGAAATGTCCCAAGAGAGGCTTGCTCTCTTGCCAGCCAATGGGTGAAAAAATGGGTAGCCTAGCATGACATGAAACAAAAGTCATTCTGCTCCAATGAAGCACCACAAAAAGAACCGTGGTCCCCCCATACCAGCAAGGGCTTAGTGGGGAGCCCAGACTTCCAACCTTGACAAGATATAAAGAGGTGTCTCAGATCCCCTGGCAGGGTAAGGGTCAGGGAAGGCTGAGAATAGAGAATTGGGTATTTCATCCTTACCTGGTGATAATGAAGTCATTTCCTCCACCCCAGTCCCAAAGTTTAAGTGGAGACCACGTGGGAGCAGTTAACAGGTGCCATGCACATCCCAGTCAAGAAGGGATCAATAGAGAGCTAATGCAGAGCCAAATTCCCACCTTATTTATCTCCTCTCACCCCAAGTGTCAATGGAGGCTGAGAGGGGAACCTGGAATCCT